CCCCAAAACCCCAAAACCCCAAAACCCCATGATGCTGAATGTACAGAGTTAAAAATATTTGAGATAAAAAAGGTACCAACCGAAGTAAATCAAAAGTTAGGTACGCATACTCCGTTGTCGCAGTTTTGAATTGTTTCTCTTACATCTGGTATTCCTTTAAACTCTAATGTCTTGACTTCTCCGTCGAGAGTTGCCATTCTAATGCAGTTATTACCAGTGTCAGCAACAAGAATACCTTTGAATTCTCCTCCCTTGACTACAGTCCACAGTCCATTAGGCTCATTAAGAATAGGCTTCTTTCCATCGACAACTCTTGGATTCTTTTCAGTTGAAGTACCGATCCAAGAAATGACAGGCACATTCTTTGCCTCTTGAGAGAAATCCATAACTTTAATCTTGTGATTATATGTGTCTGCCACATACAACTAGTTATTCAAACTACAGTAATTGACACCAATAGGATGCTACAATCTAGCTTTAAAACCAAATCCATCAACATCACCAAAGGCAAACAAATTTCTGTAATTTGAGTCACCTCCTACGATACCCACAGCCTCCTTTGTCTTTAAGTTAATAGCTCTTATGCATGAACTTTCTGAGTCCTAAATAGAATTATCTAAATCTCTAGCTTACAGCAATAAAGTAATAGGGATTTCCATTCCACAATCCAAGTGTAATTCCAGATGGTTAAGCCCATTGAGAATCAGTTGGCCCAGCATTATAGTTGCCCTCGGCAGCAGATCCACTGTATCTGTAGCACCTGTCTTTCTCAGTATCAAGCATCCAAATTTGATGAGTGCCAGCATTCGCATAGATGAATTGACCATCTCCAAGATGCAGTATGTCCCAAGGACTGGCTATCATCTGCTCAATAGCTGGTTTCTTTCCTCCCTCTCTGTCGAAGCCTCTGACACCTGGTAAACCTGCTACCTTCTTGACTGTTTTTTAGTGGAGATTTACTTCTCTGATACAATGATTTTTCGTGTCACATACCATCAAACAGTGCTCACCTTTGCTATTGACGAAATGGGTCATTCCCTGAGTGTGATGGAACTCAGCTTCCTGGAAGTTTCCATCCTTGAAGCCTATCTTGCCGTTTCCTATCACATCCACACATTTATTAGTATTCATGTCTACTATAACAAACCTGTTGTTCGATGAATCTGCTATGGCTATGATATCAGTAGTATCAGGATATGGAAGTCCTTCAGTGTCAACTATGGCAATTACCTTGCCAGGATTATTAAGATTTTATCTGAGTGCTCTTATTTACTCCTCTCTCAATGCTTCTGGCTTAGCTGATTGAGAATCTGTTTAAGCCAAATATTTGTCTTTCTCAAGAACTACAGGTAAATCTGATTTGTCAAGTTTGCCCTCAAAATGCTCTAAGGCAGCATGTATCATTTGCTCTAGGGTCTCTTGGTTATCTTCTCCCGTAACTTTCAAGATTACTTTTTGGTGAGGACCTATGATGATTATTGTGGGCCAGCAGTTTACATCTTGAGATTGCCAGAAGATAAAGTCTCTGTCGTTGAAGACTGGATGTTGGATATCGTATCTGATCACTGCTTGCTTGAGCATGTATAGATCTTTCTCGTTATCGAACTTAGCTGAGTGGCATCCGACAAACGCTACCTCTTTTCTGTCCTTGAAGGTCTTTTCCAGATGTTCCATCTCTGCTAAGACATGAATGCAATTAATACAGCAACTGGACCAAAAGTCTACGACTGTTAACTTGTTCTTAAGTTCTCGACCCAAAGATAGATCTTTCTCATCTTTGGTATTAAGCCATTCGTGGCCCTTGGGAAAATCAGGAACTTTTGGCATCTTGTCTATCTTCGAATCAAGTCTTTCTAGCATGGATTTGTATCTTGAAACGGTGGCCTCATCTCTAGAAGCAGCTTACGTGCTTAATTTCTGTACTGAACTTCCCATCATTGCTAATGTTGCAATTCTATAATCGATATTATTTTTTAGTAATGAAATAAGCTTTTGCATGATAAAGTAGCTCAACTTTATTTTTAATTGAAATACTGAGACCACGTTTATCTTTACACCCGGGGTTTTGGGGTTTTGGGGTTTTGGGGTTTTGGGG